ATATATATATATATATATATATATATAAGCATTGAACAATTTAGTAAATGAAGAATCAATAATAATGATACCAAAAAATTCACACTTTTTGTACCTAAGTTTCTGAATATTTGTTACAGCAATACTGAATAAAATTTAATAAATAATTAAAATCCAAGTGTTTCAGTATTATTGACTTCTGAAGACTCTGGATTAAAATAACGAGTCTTGGTATTGATGAATTCAACATAACCATTGCCAATCATTTCAAGAGCATACCGCAGTTCAAATGAAACAACATCTCTACTTTCTGATGAGAAATGCCAAACATGTAAGTCTTGAAGTGTTTTGGTTTTGAAGCATCTATGACACTGATCACAGAATTTTTTGACATTCTCTTTATCAACTTTATCCATTTCAATGTCTTCAGGACTCATGTTTTGAATGAGTGATTCACTTAATTGCTTTCTTCAAATCTGGTGTCTTACTTTTCTTAAGTTTTGAATGTATATGCATCTAGTAATCGTTCCAATATCTTTTTCACATTCATTCTCAGCACTGTTGTCCTCTATGTCATCAGTGTTAGGTTTTATAGGACCAGGATTCTTTACAATAGGTGTCTGTGACTTGTTGGCAATAAATTTCAACAATAAATGGACAGCGCACAATCCACTTGTTTTAAAATAATATATTTATATTCAAAACAAGTCAAACATATGTACAAAAATTCATTACACTATTTTTTACCACAGTTGAATCTAGAGCTTTAAATAATTCTTTTTTTCATCAAAAGTCCACACAGACTGGTTCAGTTACATTAGAACTCAAATGACAAAATGAATTATTTCTTCTCTCCTCTGGTATCACAATACAATCAGTGATAAATTCATTTACATTACCCCATGGATTACCACATTTGTATCCAGAGCTATAAATAATTATCTTTTTTTTTGTCTGGTTCAATTACTTTAAAACCCAATGGACAAGACGAATTATTCTTCTCTCTCTGTTGTTACAATACAAGCTGTGAAACTCAGTTCAAAACTACCACTATGCTGTTGGTTACCAAAGTTATATCCAGAGCTTTAAATAATTGTCTCCTTTTCATCAAAGTCCACACAGGTGGGTTCAATTACTTTAGAACACCCTCTGACAAGACAAATTCTTTTTCTTTATCTCTGTTATTACAATACAAACTGTGATACTCTCACTTTATAAATGGGCAGTTACAGCTAAACTAACAATCACGCAGTTTAACTTCACTTTCACTAACTTACTTAACTCTCTGTATTTGTACATATTTATAACACGTGACAGAAACATCTAGAAATATTTAACCCTCTCGTAACAACAATATTAAACATAACAAGATAAACTTAGAAGCTTTGAGTAAGATAATGTCAAGAATATTACAAAAGCCTAGTACAACAATTAAATTCACAACATACAATTTGTTTAGAGTTACATAACAAAACTTGTCATAACTATCCCTTTTAAAATAACTAACTTTTAACACTCTTGTTATGAAAATTAAATAACTATTATATATTAAATCGTTAAATAAGTTAAATAAAACTCTTAAAATGAACAGTCTTGTATATCCAACAATCATCCTTGGTAAAAAACGTTTTTGGGAATCACCATCTTCATTATTTTGAATATCTGCATAATTTATCTATTCATCAGTTGTACATTCGGTAACAGTATCCATATTGATCAGTTTTGCAGAAGCAGTGTATTTCACATCTTGCAAGTAACATTTTCTAGAGATAATTTTCTAAGAAACTGAAAATAACATACAGAATGGTATGTTCGTTTTCAATAAAAATGAGGAATGTGGTATCAATGGGGTTAGACTTTTCCAGGAACTCTTGATAAAAAGCCATTGATTATTTAGGATTTCTAGCAATGAATGTATTTACAAAATTCAACAATGTTTCACAATTTTCAGGCTTTGTGCAAATCCTGCTTAGCTTAATTTTAGCATTAGCTAGTGAGTTTAAGTCCTTCAGTAGATGATATTTTATTAAAATGGAATATTAATCAATAAAACATGCATTTATCTTGAATTTAACATCAGTAAGCATACTTACGTCCCTTATTAACAGGCTTAACTTTTTTACATTCATATTAACCAACAAATGTTATTTAGATTTTTTATGTTGGTTAGTGTATTTAAAGGTCATACATATTAGGTGTAACCAAGTTAATTTCCGAAACCATGAGCAAAAAGAAAAAAATTAATTAAAAGTGGCCAATTTAATAAATGGTAATGATAAGTGTGGATTGAACAGGTTAAACAATACTTAAAAACAGCTCAAATTTTGAGTCTTGAGTTACTGAAAAAACTCCATAAAAATTTAGCAGAAAAATAAAACAATTGTAGTTAGTTAGAAAGAAATTGTTTAGCTCTTTGGTAGTTTTGTAGTAACAGTATATGAGATGCATACATCCCATCTTAATCATTAAAAACGTTATAATGAACAAAAAGAAAAAAATTTCAACTGTTGTAACTAACAATACATTATAAAATATACATTTAATTCTTAGTTTAAGTAACATTAAATACCAAATTCAGCTCACTGAAATATATTTAAGTTATGATTCACTCAAAAAGTATTGAAATTTATTGTGGTTTTCACTGGATTTTCAAGAAAAGTTAGATCTTTAACTAAAACACGTTTTTAGTGAAAACCATAAAAGTTTGGTGCAATAAAATGTTAAATCATTCTTAGACTCAAGATATATTAATTCATTCACAACAAAATATGTATATATTTTTATACATTATTATGCAAAAATAAAAAAATCCAAAATGTGAAAAGTGAACACAGACTTTCAGATGTAAATCTGCTTTAGGAAGCTTTTATCATTTCAAAATTTATTTTGTTGTTGCATTTGAATTATTCATACCCATTAAAATCACACAATAGAAAATATCCATACAGTGAGAATGAAACAGTGATAAAGGAAGAAAATTATAGAAAAATTATATATAAATATATACAAGTACCATAAAAAGTTTTTAAATATTATCAAAATATGTAGGGATTGATATATACATAACCTAGCTAGCTATAGTAATACAGAAAATTTTAATGCTACGAAAAAGTATTGAAACAAGAAAATTGAGTTACTTAAAATTTAACAATATTTTTTCAACTTTGGCATATCACTGTAATTATTTTAGTCTGAGCTAAAGTAGGGATAAAATTTTTTAAATTTTAAGTAACTCAAAATATTCTGAGTTTTGACTTTCTCGTTTCAATACTTTTGGTACAATTAAAACTTTCTATATTACTATAGCTGTCTAAATTACATACATATCTATGCATAATTGTCTTTATAAAGTTGTACTTGTTTGTTTCCTATTCATTAGCTATATTTGTTGTACTTGTCTGTTTCCAATTTATTAGCTTTATTTTTGTGCACCACCAATATCAAGCGTTGGGCCCGCGTATACCTGATTCAGTTTTATTACACAACAGGATCTCTACCAACCTACCCTCAAATCTAATTATATGGCCAAAAGTATAGCATTGCCCATTTTATATATACACACATATACTAGTATCCTTTTCGGTACAAGAAAGGAATCATTGTAACCCCACATGGAAGAGTTCTGTGAAAGAATTAGAGCAGTAAGGTTCATCATTTTTCTGTATGCTTGTCTGGAAAAATCACTTACTTAGATGAAAATTCAGTGAAATAGTTAAATTTTGACTCACTCCATAAACACATATACAATAATGATTTAGATGGCTTTATAAGCACAATTAGCTTTAGATTTGCTCAGCCAATATTGTGAAACAGTCATTGTTAATATTCATATATTTTAAAGGTAGTGTTCAATGGAAGATTTTTATGGCTGCCATTTTGTTTCATCATGATTCTTACTATTAAGTACTACTGTATTTAATGATATATACACGTTTTTAAATATATTAGCTAAACCACAGTGGATATCTTTGCATTTGGATCACTCTACAAAAAAAAACAAGGTAACTCTACGAATACAGGCTGGGTGGGATCCACCTAGTTCATAACCATGAAAGTATCCATGAGAGTAATTGTACTATAATTTTTGATAATGTATGTGTATCAGGCTGGGTGGGATCCACCTAGTTCATAACCATGAAAGTATCCATCAGAGTAATTGTACTATAATTTTTGATAATGTATGTGTATCAGGCTGGGTGGGATCCACCTAGTTCATAACCATGAAAGTATCCATGAGAGTAATTGTACTATAATTTTTGATAATGTATGTGTATCTTTACAAAATTTTGCAGATTATTAGTAAACATTACAAGGCTTTCATACACAAAATATCAGGTTTTTAGATTAAGTATTAAGATTTTTTTTATTAAAGATTTGCTCGTTAATGTTTTTTTCAAAATATTGATTATCCAATGTGCAAAGTAATTTTGATTTTAAGATTAAAAATATTTTTTTATCTGAAAATTGTCAAGTGTCATTTGCGTAATATTTATATCCTTCTGGGTAATCATCACCCATTCTTTTGAATAAAACTTTATATTTAATCTGTTATTTTATGAATGCTAACTCTATATGGTGTTAGTCAATTTGACTGACCTTGTAATCATCATAAAAATTAAGAAATAAATCTAAATTACCTTTTTATGTGTTTTAGAATATCTGCATATTGTAACAGGAAACCACAAATGTTTATTCTAAATAGCTTAAATCTTGTAACAGTATACATCTATTTATATTTATTAATATTTGTTTTATGACCTTTGAACTCTATCTGACTAAAAATAACCCAACACAAGTTGAAAATTACATGGTGCACATGCAACTCATGTTACTGTATCAAATAGCGTAAATGTACAAGCTGCTGCCATGTATACCCCATGAAGATTTTTATTATTTTTCTTTCATTACCCTACCTAATAAGTTTTTAGTTTTTACATTTTAGTTACTTTTATGATAATAAATAGTGAAACAAATGAAAAATAAAAAACCTTGTGATTAAATATCAAATATTTCTATTTTAGTAAAGCTTTATATTTTATCTGTTATTTTCTTCACTGTGACATTATACTTGATTTTCCAGGCTGTAGGTAAGTACTCAAAATATAAATTTCAAGTTTAAATAGGAATATATTTTATTAAGTTAGATTTAAATTAATCTAATACCTAACAAAACAATACATACAATAGCTTAATGGTGTGACTACATTAATTATTTTTTCTTTAATTTTAGTACACAATGGAATTGTCAGATTATATAGTTATGGTTTGGTCGCCAATTGTCAATTAAAAGGCTTTCACTTATACTTCTTAATAGTATAAATATATGCTGTGTTGTTGTTGGGCTTAGGAGTCTTCTACAGCAGGTGTCTGTGACTTGTTAGCGATAAATTCAATGATAAATGAACAGCACGCACTTCACTTGTTTTCAAAATAATATATATATATATATATATATATTCGAAGCAAGTTATATGTATGTACAACAAATTCTTCACATTATACAGATTATAGGCATATCATAAACACTATATACATAGTTCTCTTCTTGTTGTCAAAAGTCCATTTAAGCCTGTTCAATTGCTTTAGAATTTCAATTGACAAGCCAAACTATTACTATCACACTAATATTCTGTGTGTGATTCACTTACAATTGTGGCACGAGTTACTGTACTCATTTGGTCTTCTTTCTTCAAAATATCCTCTGTTTCTTTTGTCAAAGTGCACTCTGGCTGATTCAATTACTTTAGAACCACACTTTGATGGAATAAATTCTTCTTTGTATCTCCTTTTCTACTGTTAGTCTTACTCTAACATATTAAGTGCTCATCCTATGTTAATCGTTGGCCTACCACTTTTACGGTAATTAACTTCACTTCGAACTTTTCCTTGCCATAACTTTACTCACTTCTGCCATTGTCTGTCTACTGCTTCTGCTCGTCTCACACTATTTTTTTGTCTATCACTTAAGCATCTGTTCTTGACATCAATGTATTGCATGCAATGTTCGATAGTCTCAACATCAATAACTTATAAACACAACTTTCTACAATCGTCTGATTTTAACTCTTATTATAACAAAAACTAAACAATAATAAAATATTCACTCACAAATATAAATTAGTCAATAATATCTAAACAGTCTTTTATATGATGACAGCAATCTTACCAAGAACTTGTGAGTGTGAGAAAGTGTTTCTATGACTTCATCCAGAATTCTGTCAGATAGATGAGCTACAATTGACAAGTTGATTTCACTAAAAGATAAAATACAAAACTTAAAAAACAGTTACCCCTTATAAAGAAAGTCCACTTTCCAAAAGTACTCAGTTTATTGGGTTTCATTTCTGATCCTGGCAAACACTTTAGAAACATTTGTAAAAGTTACTTAACTCTTTCTAGACAGAATGGGTGTCACTTATATCTATTGATTTTTTCCATTTGCATAGTCAAAACACTTAACCAAATTCCATGAAAATTGGTAAATAACAATATATAATTTCAACTTAAGAAAATTTACAAAATTTGATTTAGTATTTCTATCATTTTTAAGCTTATGAATGTTAGAAAATTTTGTTGCAAGACACTGCTTTAAAAAACATTAAAACACAATTCAAAATATCTATTTTCACCTTAGAATTATTATTTTTTACATTTAATGTAGACCAGAGCATTATGCAGGTGAGAATTTGGAAGTTTGAAATTAAGTAATTTGAGTATAGTATTCTTCACTTTACAAGTTGACAGAAACTCTATATCTGATTCCAGTTTCTTAACTTATAGTCACATTTCTCTACTGAAAAGAAAAATAATAACGCATTTCAAATGACTATTTGAATTAATATTTCAGGTACGGATTTTACAACATGAAAACACAATTTTATATGAAATTGAAAAATTATGGTAATTACAAAAATCATTGTACCTCATTATTTCTGTAGCTCATTTATTACATATAGATACATATGTGTATATAAATATGTCCGTGCAATGTTTCAACTGTTTACTTAGGTCATCATCATCAGGAAAAACAGGAAATACAAGATCAAAAGAATGTTCTAATCATGTGAAGCAAGAACAACAATAATATTAACCAACAAAATTATTGATTATCAAAAGCTTCAATGGAGTAGAGGAAAAAATGAAAAAGATTAAATTTTCGAATAAATATTCTCCTTATGAAGTTTTTATTAGAAGGTCACTTTATCACAAAAATTGCTTTAAAACAAGTGTTGTGTATAAAAAGATTGTGTTATATTTAAAACAACGGAAATTTACTTTATGGACTGACTTTCTTTGATTAACAGTTCAAGCTCAGAATCACCATAATATATATTATGGTGAATCTTGAGTGAGTTATCAGATGTTCGGTTTCATATCTGTGCTTTCAGGTCACCAAACTGGGTGGACTTAAAAGGATGTTACCTGACCTAAATGATATTTACATTTGCTTATGGATACAGAAAGAAAAATGTTTAAATAATTAAAAGAAGTACCCTGTTACACAAAACTTAAAAACTTGTTTACTATCGAATACACAGAGTATGGTATGTATGGTTACAACATTTCACCAGATTAACCTAGAATCATCAGGTACAACTACAATGTGTAATATTATAATTTAGGTAACACAAAAACTAGTAGATGGATACATTAGTATTTGTATTGGTCGAGCTTAACAAGACCTATGGAACATAAAGAGGATGCTGAAAATAGTCACAGAATTAGTGCTATTTTTCTACACATTAGGAATCTTGAGAAAAAATTCAACTGGAAATTACCCAAAGTAATGTATAAAAATAGAAATTATGTTAAAAGAAAAACTGTGAAAAGTTCATTAATCCCTTCATCCATCAATCTTTTGGGTAAGATATGCTGATGATATATTTACTGGCTTTAATGATTCCTCATCCATTGAAGAGTTCTTTTCATACCTGAATCTGATCCATCCTGACATAAATAAAAGCATAAACTCCTGTTCCTGAATGATCTTGATTAAAAGACAGGATAGAAAGTTCCATATTTTCAGTTACCATATAGATACTCACACAGGTCTATACACAGTTTGAAACTCCTATCATAACCCTTCACAAAAAGTAGGTAACGTAAAAAAACTGTATCTTCCTATAAAGACTATTTATTCTACTAGCGAACATTTTCAATCATATCTTAAGAAACTGAGAAGAGAATTAATAACCAAAATGGCTTCCCACTAAAATTCATTAATAGTCTTCTCTAAGTTCAATGGAAACTCCTAAGTGAAGTCTTGGAGCAAATTAAATAATAATGAATGTCCTATTTATTGTACAATTCCATTTATTCTAAAAATATCACATTCAGTCAGTTTCAACTTGATTGAAAATCATTAACCCTTTAAGAGAAGCCAGGGCAAAGTGTGCATGTCATGATCTTTTAGTGCTACATTCAAATTTTAATTAATTTTCTTGCTACAGGTTCAGTCGAATCAGCAGAGTTTGTAATCTCAATTTGACCATTATAGTTTTCATACTATAACTTCTGATATGTTTTGTGTATCTTCACATAATTTCACAAGCTTTCAGTACACATTACAAGTCTTTATTGACAAAAAATCAGAATTTCTAATGACGTATTTTCACTAAACATTTCTCCATGAATATATAGAGTCAAGCTGTTGACTGCTCTGAGTGCAAATTGATTTCTATGTTAAGATTAAAAATATCTTTCTTCATCTGAAAATTGTTAAATTTCATTTGTGTAATCTCTAAGACTCCTAAATAAATTCTAAATGTATTTTTCAGTAAAACTTTATAATATATCTGTTATTTTCTCTACCTTAACACTAAATTAGGTTGGTCAACTTGACCAACCTCGTAACCATCAAGAAAGAAAAAAAGAAATGTAAATTACTCTTTCTATTTATTTCTAGAATGATATCAAATTGTAACATGAAACTACATTTGTTTCTATTTATTGTTTTATTTTCCCTTGAACTGTATCTAACTAATAATCCCACCACAAAAGTTCTAAATCACTCAGTAAACATGTAGCTCACGCAACTCTATGAAATTACTCTATAATGAGTGGGCCACTTGCGGATATACTTAGTGAAAAAAATTTAATTTTTTCTTTATTTTAACAAATCTAGCCTAAAATTTATAATTTTTACATTTTAGTTAATTTTATAATGATTAATTAAGAATCCAGATGGAAAACAAGAAATGTAATACTAACTTAGGTCTCTTCTTTTTGCAGTTGACTATCGTTGAAAATTATCCCCAGTATTATATACTAATGGTATCTTTTATCTAACCTTCTTATGATGGTCTTGATATAAAATATACAAGTTCGTACACACACTTGCACACGTTAAGTATTTATACTATAACTTTTAATGCATTATTTGTAACTTCACAAAATTTGGTAGACTTTTAGTAAACATTACAAGTCTTTTGTACACCGAAAATCAGATTTTTTTAATAAAGTATTTTACTAAAGATATATTTGTGAATATATTGAGTCTGTTTTGTTAATAGTCTGAGTGTGAAGTGATTTTCATGTTATAATTAAAAAAAACCATTCTTCATTCCCAAAATCTCAAATATCATCTGGGTAATCTTTAAAACCTCCTAAATACATTTCAAACATTTGTTTAAAAAAAAACTTTATATTTCACCTGTTATTTTCTCTACCCTAACTCTATATGGGGTTGATCAATTTGACCGACCTTGTAACCACCCTCCAAAAAATTAAAAATCTAAACAAATCTAAATTATCATTTTTTTTTCTTTCTAGAATGACTTCAAATTGTAACATGAAACTACATTAGTTTATTCTAAGTAGCTTTAAACTCGTAACAGTAAACATATCTGTTTATACTTAAATTTTGTTGTTTTATTGTGATTGCTCTTTGAACAACTAACTACTACTATTCATGCCATTATAAGTTGTAAATCACTTGAGAAACATGAAGCTCATGTTACACTATCGAATTACATTACCCACGAGCTACTCCAATTCTAAGTTGTTTGTGTGCATGCCTAGAGAAACATTTTTATTATATTATTATTTATTTTACCTAATCTAACCTTAACTAACCTAAATAGATAAAGAATAATCATGAAAAACAAAAAATAAAGAACTTATCAGGGTCTTCTTTTTTTTTCCTGTTGACTGTCGATGACACTTAACCCTTTTTTATACTAATGGTAGTAGTGCCCTAAATAATTTTTATTTAATTAAATAATGCACCAAAGAACATAAAATAATAACATACAAAAAACAGACAATTTCCCCTACTTATCACAATTTTTCTGGCTTTCTAACTATGCGATAAAAACAATATAAATTAATCCAAGCTAATCATTATCTTTCCTGTGGGAATGAAACTTGGACTAATTGAGAAATTGACAATTCTCCTTTCAGAAAACGTTATATAATACGTCATTTGATAGATGAAAAGTCAGAATATAAACTTAGAACCCCCACCTGCTTTACTAAGATATAATCAAAGATAGCAAACCCACTTGACACAGTCCTTCTGTATCATACTTTTTTTTTTAAAATGACAATAATTTTCTTGGGCACAGCTATTGCATTATATATAACCAATAGAAAGAGCAGCTTTTTCTCTACAAGATTCCTTATAGGGGATATTTCGTTTTGGTGCTGATAAATAGATATTTGGCCTCATTTTCATTGTTTGTGGTCATACAGTTCAGTTTTGAGCAGCTAAAAGAAATTATTTAACCTATTTATAGCTTAACTTGAAAGTCTAAATGCAGTATATTATTGCTTAATTTCGGATGAAGTTTTTCTAAGATTCTTATAGTTTTCACAATATACTGTCTATATTTGTTTTTAATAATGAAACCTGATGATGAATGCAGTAAACTGGTGGAAAGCTTGCAAAGAGATTTGTTGAAATGTACTGTCTAAAATCTGTTATATTGTAGTATTAATCATTTTATTTTTTTAATCTTGGTTTTGTTGTTTTTTAATATGGTTTTTGCTCTGATATTATTAATTTTGTTCTTGTACATATGATTTTACCATATCACTTTTCATGACTGTAAGCTGTTTTTATTTTTAGATGTCTAAGTTTAATAGCAACTCCAATAGCCATGACTCGTAATACATTTGCGGTAGTTTTCACGCCTTTGCTTGAATTTTCCTTATTTTATTTATCATTTTCTTGCATGTCATTTAAGTTAAATTTTCTTGCAGGCATTGCATTAGATCGATAAATCCTGGTTTATTTTAAAATAATTTACATTGT